AGTCCACAATGGCCTTGACCTTAGCGGGATCCGCTCGAAGGCCACGCTTCCCAATGAATCATCCTAAAAAAAAAAATTTTTCGCGCCAAAGTGCACTTGTCGGTATTTGCATACAACTTGTTCGTGCGCATGCGCTCGAGCACCGCTCTCAAATGGACGATGCGGTCTTCCTCATCTGTCCTCCTCGCTCCGCAAGACTGTATGCGAAGATGTCGTCGAAGTATGTTCGTGCATACGCCTGGTGGGGCCTGAACAATTGCGTCACAAGAAGATTAAGTGTTGCTGGTGCATTTGACAGCCCTTGGGGCATCACCAGCCACTCCCAAAGCATCTCACTCGGAGTACTCACCGATGTCAGCAGAATATAACTCGAACTTATGAGCTATTGGTAATAATCATCGACTACGTCGACTGCGCTGTACTTTGTACAGCCAACCATATTGTTCTGGAGAACAGTCTTTCTAGAAAACGGCGTGTGTGCCGGAATGGTGGCAGTGTTTTGTTTTTTGTAAGCATGAACGATACGTTATTTACCGTTCGGGTTTCAGACACAAAACGTAGGTGTCAAATGGGGAGACTCACTCTCACGCACCATTCCTGCGTCGTGATTCGCACGGAAAAGGCGTCAATGACATCACACTGCTCTTTGGGCAGGGGCTATTGGCGTGTACGCAGTATTTGGTTCCCGGAACCAGGTCAATCTCATGGCGCACACATCGGTCCGGAGGTAGAACCGACGGCGGGTCTTAGGGGACGACCTCTTGAAATTTCTTCACCAAAGGAAAGCACTGATCCGAGAAATCCTTCAGGATCGACGATCCACTTCGTGCGTCCAGCACCTTCTTGGTGCCCTCCAGGACAGCTCATCCAGAAGCGATGACGAATGTGTTCGGTCGTATAATGACCACCTCGGCTAAATCGCCTGCCTCCAAGGCAATGCCAAACTCTTCGAAGGACATCTCGTCCCGCTCAAGAAAAGCATCCACCAATATCTTCGATTGTGACGTCGCCGTCTTGCTCTCCCGCCATACCGTTAACAAAGGTATATAGCTGTGCGCTATCGCCTACGGTAGATACACTCTAGGTCAGGGTCGACTCTCTGCGTCCTTTAGATAACATACGGCATCGCCATCTTCTCTATAGAGGTTATTCGTATCATCGAGACCAGCGGGAACAATCACTCAGCGTCGTCCAATGTCTCCACTCCCTGCTCCATCGGAGCCTTGATGTGATGAGCAACATCCGACGAAGAGCTGCCCTCGTCCAGTAGATAGCGTGTCACTCTACACGCATCAGAAGGGCCATGCCTCGTACCTCGTCCGACCATGCCACTTTTGGCATGCAGCAACTGCTTCGAAGCGTGAGCAGCACTCTGTGGATTATGTATCACTCCATGCGCATCACTAGGACCTCGCTCTTGATGCCTCGTACTCGTCGGACCATGGCACCCTTGGTATGCAGCAACTGCTTTGAGACTTCAGCAGTGCTCAGTGGGTTACGTGCCACTCCACGTACATCACCGGGGCCTTGCCCTTGATGTCTCGGCCCTTGGCTGACCATGCCACTCTTGGCATGCAGCAAAGAATTCTACGTGAGCAGTGCTCAGTGGGTTACTCCACGTTCAGCCCGCGATCCATGCTTGGGGTTCTTGTCCAAGACGCCTTTGGTATTCGATAGCCGATATCCAGCACATTGACCGTCCCGATTCGATACCCGCGCCAATAGCGCTCTGCTTCCTAGCAGAGGTGGATTCATGACTAACCAAAGCTCCCCCAGGAGACGTGCGCGATGCGTCCAAGGTCTTCGACCTTCAATCAATCCATGGATCATGGTGTTATACCTATGCCATACCATGGATAAGGTCATACCTTGCATCCAAGACTAAGCAGCGTTCCAAGTTATCAAATTCAAAAAACTTAAGACAGGAGGTCTACAGGGACCCTCGGCACAGTGACACAAGTCCCCGTTGCTAAGCGATCAGTGACGGTGTCACTCAATAGCACTATCAGCACCTCAGCCACAGCTGACTTCCTTCCATCGTGGAGCGTCGGGCAATTATGCTCGACGCTCCAGAATCGATCAGGATCTTTCATGGCTTTTCAAAGCCATTCACGATATCTTTCACGATCAGCAAGCTCGGCTTGCATACACGTTCCGTGTTCAAGAGCACGCAGCTCTTTATGGCTGAACCCTGCTGTCCTCTACCTCGTTGAGGCTCAATAGAACTCAGTTATCCCCCAGTTGGCCGCCCCGCGCCTACTGGGTTTAGTCGTTTCACCGCGACAAACCAGACTGGTAAGAAGCGGACGTCTGCTTGACGTACCTTTACGCGCCTTGCGCAAGGGACAACCCGTCCAAAGGGGACGGGTGTCTCCGCAAACAAAACACCGTCAGGTGTTTACACGCTGCTAAGCAGCTCGGAGCTCTACCTCTTCTCTCTCAGCATAGCTGAGATCCATCGGCTTAGACCAGCTCGACGAGCTGCTAGAGCTAGAGTGTGCATTCCAACCAAATCGTGCCAACCTAAAGTTGACTTCAGCTTTCAGTGCCACACTCACCGCTTCATCAGAAGAAGACGGATGCACACGGAAGATTACCATCCTGACCACGCCAGTGCGGAGGCCCTCCATAAAGACGGCCACTGCGCTCGCCTCGGGGAGAGGATCAGCTGCCATCCCGGCAATGAAAGCTCTCAACTATTGGACATAGCCCACAAACTCCTTCTTGCCTGTCGGGCGACAAGGAAACGCGATATGCCTAGCTAAGCAGCTAGAACTTTCGCAAAAGCTGGCGCTTCAGCCGAAGCACCGCACGTTAGTGCCCATTCCTCGCGCTAGGACCCCGAGCTTGGAGATAGCTAGCGCCACGCACTGCTCTTCGTTCTGGAGCATAGTGGATGCCATAGCCATCCCGGCCTCTCATACCCAGAGCAGTAGAGTCATTCTTATCCTCGAAGGTCTTAACGCTCACCATGAGTGTTTTAGGTCGGAAGGAGTCATTAGTCGTCGACTGTGGCGTCATGGACGCAGTCGACGCTGACGGCTTCTGCTGTACGTGCTCTTACAGAGCATTTCCATTTTTTGAAAACGCATCTAGGCACGCGCTTATCGCCTTGAGACCTTGCGCAACAAGGTGTTCCTGCATACCCTAAGGCAGATAGGAGAATTGTTCCATCCTCGCAGAAGATCAGTCGTAACGACTCAGGCGTAGAAGTGCTGCCAAGTGCAGCGGAGCTGCTGTAGCTCTTTGCTTAGAGGAAGCTACTCTAAGTTCACCAACCTTACGTTCTATACAAGAGCCAGTACGAGTGTAGCAGATCGCAATCCGCTACTTCAAGAGTACGTTAGACCTTAGCCAAGATAAAGACGCTCTTCCGTTCAAAATTGAAACTCTATTTAATTGTTTTATTTGTGCCAGAGCCGTGGCAGTACTGCGAGTAGTAATGCACATCAACTAGTTTTTCTATTTTACTAGGAAAACCTAATGAAATAGAAAAACTAGTTGATGTGCATTACTACTCGCAGTCCTGGCACATAGTGGCTTCTTGTTTCGGTGTAGCTCACAATTGTGTGATTACATCAATTTGTGTAATCCACACCTTTTACGGTCACACCATCTTGTGTGACCCGCCCTTTATAAACTTGAGCGTGTAACTCCGTTACACACTGGTTATAAGTAACCCTGTTACAGGTCGTGTAATGGGTCAGGTCTCATTACACATGGTGTGTCGACCACACACTTGAGTGCGTTTAATTTTATATCTGCATAGTTGTATTCCCCCGTCAGTTCTCTTGTACAAGAGCTGAAGGCACTAATCAGGTAAGGGAGGCTAAAGCCCCTTAAACATAATAAATGCCACTTCACCTTTCCTCCTCTTTAATTAATTCAACGGGTTGCTGGAAGTGAGCAACACGCTGTAAGGCGTGTTAATAAACCTAAACCTTCCTCAATAAGTGTGTGTACATGGACGGGCGATTCCCGTTACACTCAGTAGCACTAGTAGTTATTCCAATGCTTATTACTTCGATAAATACTGCGGACAATACACGTGGTAGTCGTCCTCAGATTAACAGGGGAAACTATTTTTTCCTAACACAGCCGCAATGGAAGTGTTTGGTAAATCAACAAGCTTTAATCAGAGATCACGCGGTCTCCGATATACTTCAATCAAAGTAAGAGGCGATATATCAATGCTCCGCAAATTTTGCTGCGTAAGAGCAAGGATTATTGAGGGTATATCGCAGAATATTCCGACGCCTGTTACGGTGAAAAGCTTTCACGAGAACAACGATACCGATCTTGCGTTTTGGCAGCGAGAAATGAATATCGCTATAACGATGGCTCATATTCGTGATGACCGCAGTCAAGTGGCCTTTGCCATGTCACATTTGGATGGCCGCACAAAGGATTGGGCAATAACTTGGAAAGTCCATCGCCCTGGCTATTTGGCAAGAGATGAGGAGGGCTATATCCTTACGCCGAAAGTTGGATGTCGACAACGGTCAAATTTATTTTATGCCGTCAAGATAACGGCACATTGTACGGCTAAGTTGGAGTATGGAGCACTACCCAAAGCAGTGATGGTCATTGTGTTTATAAAGGGACTCACTTATGATCCTCTTAAGGCTATAGTGTTCCACCAGAGCCTGACGGCTCTAGGAGATGCAATTATGGTTGCATTGCGCGAGGATTACTGTCATCGTCAAGCATTTGGTCAATCGGCCAACCCGATGAAAGCAGTGACTGCTGCTACCAAAAATCCTGGATTAATGGATCTAGCGCAGTGAGTGTTTGAATGCAGCAAAATTGCTATACGGAAGTCAACAATTCGTCACATCCGCCGTGATTGTCTACTGAGAGACAAACCTCTCAATACGATTCGCGTCGTACTGGTTCCGACTCACGTGTTACCAATACCACGAGTCGTTTGAAAATCGCCGGAAACCAGTAGATGCATGGCAGTCTGCTGGCGCAGTAAAAGCTCTTGTGAGTGTGGTGGTAGAGTCACTCATAAGGATTTAGCCTTCAAAGGATCATTGTCCTTCCTTAATGGCACGAGTCGAAGTCGTCTCCTCGTGGTCACAGCGAGTGTGAAGGGCTACGGTCGTCTGTTTAGAGTCTTGATTGAATCCGGCGCGTCGCGTAAGTACGCGCAGAATAAAATTTGTTGCTGAACCTGACTTTCGGATCCACTAAATATAACCAGTGGCTTTATCTTAATAAGTTTACTACTGGTGTGGTGGTCACCGCAAAGAAGATCATGGCTGATCCTCAACTGAAGACTTCCACTCAAAGGAGGTATTAACAGTCCTCGATATGGACAAACGGTATGACCGGACTAAAGATATACCGTGGCTTGAGAAGCATGAGCCATGAATCGATTGGCGATCGAAAACGATTGAGAGTAGGCTTCCTGGCGTTGGTGAAATTGTTGGGAGTAACAGATCACATTCACTATGCATCAGAAGAAGAGCTCAAGCGCTCGTCAGTCGTATGCTGTTGAAAATGATCCACACTACATTGGTCTATACCATGCAATTGACATTCGTCAGGTTAGCGAAGAAACGGAGTCGTATGGAGTAGCCTCGGGTGGTCACTCAGGAAGTGTGTCGATAGATCAAATGGTGCCTGAAATCGACCACTTAAAATCTAATAAATCGTTGGTGTGTATGACGATTTGCCTATCGGAAAGAATTTATGAGAGAGAGATGCCGATTGTTGTCCCCGTCAAGATATTTACACTAATACAGTGGTTGAGTCGAATTGTGGGTCAGTGTGTATAAGTGACCACAAAGGTGATGCTCCCAGGTGCTGTGTGGTTGAGCACACACATGTGAAGAGATTAACGGAATTTGTTGATTGTGGTATTGATACTTCCACTATAGATGCGGTTGAGTTCGCGGCGAAGTGCCCCCCATGGTGAAAATATAGCCTGCGAATATGCTGGTCCACGTATTGTGGATACAACGACTGGTTGTGAAGTTGCCAGTCGGGATGTTCTTTTGACACCGTTGTCGACGATGGAAGTGCTGGTGCAGCTCGAGAGGTCATTAACGATGACTTCCTTCACGACCTCAAATGCGGAGGTCGTGTTGCTCCAGTCGATGGTGGATTCAGAGGAATTACGCTCTTCATCAGTTTTGTATAACTCGGTTCACGAAGAATTTCGACAGCGTGTGGAGTCACGCACAGGATCTGCTTTTTTAAGGGTCCAACTGATCCTTATTATCACTTGTTCTGGAATACAAGGATGGTGTCCTTAGTGTGAAGCCGCCCTATGGTCTTTCACCCGAAGGTGGAGTTCGACACGACATTGACCGTGAACCCATTCAATGCATGCAGTGTTTTGAAACTGGCCTTTGTCGCGTGAGCAAAATGAGTATATCGATAACTTCTTTGCTCAAAAGCAACCTGCTGGCTTTGTGAAGGAGAGCAATCGCCCTAGCGGCGCACCGACGTCTCGTGTGCGTTAACCAAATGGGGAATGGTGTATCACATACGCCTGTAACAAGTTGAAAGCGAAGACGATACCCGCGTAAAATTATCATCATCCACCGTATGTTCTCCCTGGTCCACCGCCTTGATGTTAGTAACAATATCAGAAGAAAAGCTGCTAGTTCCGCAGTCTTCGTCCAGTGGATAACGTGCCACTCCACACGTATCTGAAGGGCCTTGCCAAAGATGCCTCGGACCTCGTCTGACCATATCACTCTTGGCATTCAGCAACTGCTTCGAAACGTGAGCAGTGCTCAGTGGATTACCAATTGTACACAATTTATTGTATTTGATTTGGGTGATGGATACTACCAAACGAGGAGGAAGTTCCTTTGACGTGTATTAGTACACCGTTGAGTATGTTATGGGAGTGGCTTGTGATACCACAAGGTATATCCAATGCCCCAGCAACGTTCTATCGATTGTTCTCACATCTATTTCAATCACTCCGGCGCTTCGCACAACATACTTTGACAATACTTTCGTTCATTTGAACGGCGAAAATGGCGGATCTGCCGAAGAGATGCACTTGAAGCACCACCATTCGGTGCTAGAATGTATGCGTGAACATTGATTGCAAACGATACTTGCAAAGTGTATTTTCTATGCTCACGAAATACCGGCCCTTGGTTGTTATGTTGGCGAACACGGTGTTCGTGCAGACCTCGAGAAGGTCAAAGCAGTCATGGTGTGGTTAATGTCACAGAATCAAAAGGATTTGAAAAGACGGATTCGTTTCTTCTCGCGGAACTACGCGGAAATGGTACACCCACTCTCATCTTGCTGAAGAAGGACGTATCATTAGAGTGGACATCCACTGGTGAAAAGGCAATCACTCAAATCAAGAACGGCTTGATGGACCAATTCTTGCCTAATCAGATGATACGAAGCCGTAAAGCGTGGTGTGTGACGATTCTGAGTTTGCAATCGGTTGTGCACGATTCGAAAAGGACTCCAAAAGACACGAACTTGTCAACTTCACGGTCGCATACAAGCCAGGGAAACTGAACGTGCTGGCAGACGCATTGTTTCGTTGTCCTGATTATGAGCTAGCTCATATCAGCTACATCGAAAAAGATGTATTGAATATCATACGTCGAGCGTGTTTTGAGAATGAATAGTGTGATGTGATCGTCAGAGCACTGTCATTGAGTGTAAGGAGTTCCACGACAAGCTTCCTGGTTGCTTAAACTAAAGGTTTCATCTTTATGCATGGATGGATGGTCTCCTTCACCATGAAGTTGCACATTTCCCACAGCGACGGTTTGACGTACAATACAGTGGTCGAGGCGCATGATACACCGACGGCTGGTCACGTGGACCGCGAGAAGACTTACCAGTGCCTAATTTAGGGGCCCCACATATACAAGTGAGTGGCACGGTACATGGAGTCATTCGATGTCTGTCCTCGCGCGACGAGCGCAGAGCACGCGCAAGTGAGACTGCAGAGTCTCCCTGTTACTACTGACTGTTGGAAATCAGTCGGTCTTAACTTTAGTTCGGTTTCCCCGAGAATACTGATGGTGACAATTGGGTGCTCGTCTTCGTCAAAAGACTCAGCAAAATGATTCGCATCGCTCCATGTAACGATTCCATCGATGCCGATTGTTCGGCTAGGCTGTTCATTGATCTCGAATTTCACACCCACCGGCTACCAGACGCCATCGTCTCGGATCATGATACACGATTCACGTGTGGTTTTTAGCAAGAACTGTTCCGAATTCTTGACACTCGCTTGGTTATGTCTACAGTGGTACACCCGGAGACTGATGTGCAAACAGAACGTGCCAACCGAGTGGTCGGTGATGTGTTGAGAAGCTTTTGTGCGAAAAATTTTGCAGGATGGAGTTCGTTGTTACCATTGGTTAAGTTTGCTATGAGCAATTCCTGGGCCGATGGGCGTGGTCGTATTGTCGACCGTATAGAAGCAACTGCAATTTTAAAAACATGACCTGATACCTGATGTCAAAGTCAAGGATAGATGTAGCTAGACAGATCAGCTGTGGCAGGAGTGAAATCAACTCGCAACTTCTCTCAAATGGCTAAAAGACAAACGCAGGATCAAAAAGACCAATGCACCACATTATTAGGTTGCCTTGGCTAATTTTGGGACTACACCGATAAACAACCAAACAAACGCCAGCTTAGTTGAGACTACGCGGGTGGCTGAATGCAGTTAAAAAGCGATCGCAAAATCTGTGGGTTTATCCACACAAAGTTACGAGATTTTAATCGCAAGCTATGCAACGTACCTAAATTCACGGCGTATTGCAACTGCAGTTCTTTGCTACGAAATGCACACTTCACACCCTTTGAGTGTAGTTTTTATGTAGTTTTAAACAAAAGAGATGCGCACAAAAAACCAGTAAACGATCGCAAAAGTCTGTTATGAGCCGACACGGATGCGAGGCACAAGTCGGTGGCAGCAATAACCGGGAAGCTCAGGCTATTGCGAGGCGAGGTCTTGAAAAGTCGTCGAAGGTAGGCACGATGTACGAAGATGGACAAACTAGGCGTGTTCGTAGTCGGATGGTGTATATGGCATGCTTGCGTGAATAAAAAGAGGCAAATTAGAAGTTTGGTTAGGAGTATATGGGCCGATAATGACTTAACGTCAGGTGTACATACACCGCAAAACAGTACGTACCCGTTATGGACTAGTGCAAAGCATGCAAACGTGAGTTTTAAGCTCCTATGCGATTGCGTAACGATGTTGGTGAGGGATTGCACCATTTCGGCATTATAGGCTACAATTGTGCAAGAAATTGGCTCGGCTAAGCCACCCTCATCACTGGCCGATGCACAATAGCCTTGAAATTTGCGGAATATACCATCACACCATGATAAGATAAGCCCATGTGCGTGAATTTCTGGGACGTCATGACTGATCTGCTTACTAATGCACTGCTGGTACCAGGAGTGGGCAGCTTAAATGATCGCAGTGCAAGCACACAAAAAAGACAAGGACAGAGAAGCGGTGTTTGTCGACACGGCAACAATGAGCAAGTCGTACGAAGTAGGTCAACAGCGCGAAGAGCAAGAGTTGGAATGTCAGCGTACGAATTGATAAGACAAGAATTGGAAGGTCAGTGTTGAAAGGGCACGTATTGGTAGGACAAGATTTGAAAAGGCACGAAGCGACAGGAAATGGCACGGAACGACCGAAGAGGTTATAACCAACAAAAAGAAGTTGAGACCAGCTTGTTAGGGCTTAAGGCTACCAAACGCCCACTGATTTGAGGTTTAAAAGTGAGGTGACATGATGATGTTGTATAGTTGTGGCGCCAGTATATTCAAATTACTTC